AAGCAGTGGTATCAACGCAGAGTACTGGATTTCACCAGTTTTTGATCATTCCGATAGTGCAAATGCTCAGACTTGCGATGGCGGAAGAATGGCAAAGGTCACAGTATTAGGTAACGCTCAGATCTCCACTAACGCCATTGAGTTCTTGAGCTTGGGACCCTCGTTTGCACTTACCCAAAATATCAGCGCGAACACCTACCGCACTGTGTTCGGATCATTACATAGATTAAGAGACCAACTTCGAATCAAGCTAAAGCGCGACAAACTTGAAAGCCAAAAACAACCCTGCGATAACCTTAGTAAAAGAACGTTACCGATAGTGCCATTTCCAGCTTCCTTCTACAAGTAACCTGAACCTAATGCCGTTGCAGACACCAAGTTCCGAATACTCTCGCTCGATATTTTGAAAGTTCTCAATGACAACAAAAGTATCAAAAGGTCTAACTTGACGCGTACGCAACAACAAGGCTTTAGTGAAATCAGGGAGCTTACTAACAACGGTACTATCCGGTTGTCGGTCAGCGACAAAGGAGGGGAATTCGTAATCATGTCGCAAACTCTAGATCAAGAGATTACCAAGAATCACTTATCAGACAAGACCATCTATCAACCCACGAATGAAAGAGAATTTCTCTTACAATGCAAAAGGTTGAATCATGTCTGGACACTGGTAGGAAAAGAAGCTGGTCTTCCTGAGAAATTCCTTAGTAGACTTAAACTCGATACACCTACATGCCCCGTGTTTTACAGCCTAGTTAAAACACACAAACTTTCTCCACTTGAAATGCAATCTGTATCCGCAGCGTCTTACAAGATACGACCCATCATCAGCTGCGTCAATGCTCCAACTGATCGAATCTCATGGTTCCTCAATCAAATTATTTGCCAGCTCTTGAACAAAATCCCCGCTCACTTGCGTAACACAAATCATTTCCTTGAGCTTTTACGCCAGAAGAAATTCGAGCGTAATTGTGCAATTGAGTCGTTCGACGTCAATTCATTGTATACAAATGTATCCAATGAAGACGCCCTGCAAGCACTTTCTGAGATGCTAGAATTGCATGGTAAAAGCATGACGATGTACGGTCTCAGCAAGGCTCGCATAATGACTCTAATTAGGGAATGCTTACGTTGCAATATCTTCAAGTGGTCGGGGCAGTACTATACACAAATAAGAGGCTTGGCGATGGGTCAACGCTTAGCACCCGTCTTAACTATTTGCTTTATGAGCAGAATAGAACAGCCAGTGCTAGCGAGGAACCCGCTTATGTATTGTCGTTACATTGACGACTGTTGCATCGTTACCTCGACACAGTCCGAAATGGACAAGTGCTTTGAAATACTAAACGAACAGTCGCAATACATAAGCCTGACAAGAGAGAAACCACGCAACGGTTGGCTTCCATTCCTTAATACGCAGCTGATGATGGTTAATGGATCGGTGAGCATAAAATGGTATAGAAAGGAAAGCAATAAAAATATCATTCTACACGCACAGTCCGCGCATCCGACAGCCGTAAAACGCGCAGTAATTCGGAACATGGTCAAAACGGCAGTGAACATCTGCAGCGGCGATAACGAAAAACAGGAAGCACTAGAAATGGTAGCAAAAATCATGGTCTCGAACGGATATATGACGCGACCCAGACGGTCAAAAAGAACATCGGCAAAGGCAAGTGCGCAGAACATAAGTAAAATACCATTGTGCCTACCTTTCATCTCCGAAAGGGTCACCGCTGCAATCAGACAGTGCTTGTTGCAAGCACAGCTGTCAAACGATGTCATCCTGGTAAATATACCAGGAAAAAACATCAAAAAACAACTGGTCCGTAACAGGATCTATGACAGAGCTTGCATCACCCGCGATTGCGTGGTATGTCCCTATGGAAAATTGGGAGATTGCTCTAAATCTGGTGTTGTGTATCAAATCCAATGTTTAGAATGTTCTGCCATTTATATTGGTGAAACTGGCCGACCATTAGGTGTGCGCGTAAGTGAGCATTTGGCTAGTAAAAGACGGCAGAGCTTGATAAGTCCACTAGGAAAACATAGAAAAGTTGAACACAGCGGTACCGATTATGATATCAAGTGCAGCATTTTAGCCTACGAGAATCAGATATCTGCAAGAAAAATGCTTGAGGCGGCCTACATTCTTGCCCGCGACCCCATGCTCAACAGCAAGAATGAACAGTTATCTATTACTACAGACCTGATGCCTTATCTAACGCATTGCAAACTATAAGATTGTCTGCCCTATTTAAGCGGTCCGTTGACACCACGACCGCTCATTTCCGACAGCAGTCAATCGAGCATACTTGAAGCAGCTTGCACTGCTACACACTGGTGACACTCTGGTGAGTAACACTCCCTCTACCCACAAACTCTCTACTTTCACTTGGAACGAATCGAGTGGGCTAGCGGGAGGAGGTATTTGACGGCCGAGATTGTGAATCAAAGTGACTGATACCTTTTTAGCCTCCGACGACGGCGTGTAGCCGAAACGTAAGGCAATAAAGTGTTACCAATAACAACCTGTATACGGCAGAAGAAAAATCATTGAAGTTAATAAACGTACAGTTATGACAGTAAAATGTGAAAAATCTCGGCGAATTCGCCAAAGTCGGCGAAAAACGCAAAGTCGCCGAGTTTACCGACATCGCCGAGAATTTTCACATTCCAAAGTCACAACTGTACATGTTGGCTGCCATTAAATGCAAGGCACATGTTATTTGATACAATAAATCTCAACTAAGGTGCAATAAATAATAGAATGTTTTAACCCTTATGGCTGATTTCCAGCTAAATGCCTACCAAGGAATAACAGTCAGTTTCAGATGAGTTGTTTTTGACTGCTATATCGTGTTAGATAATTGCATTTTTCGTAAAGTGCTATTGCTGCCTTACGTTAGAATTCTGAATGCCTTGGATCGGCAAAGTTGCGCTTTCACTTCGCCTATGTGTAGTAACTAGATTATCAGAGTGCATCAATTAACAGGAAAATCTCCAGAATGGTGTGTGCTTTGCAGTTTCTGTGAAAAACAGACAGTATTTTCAGATTCAAAAATAGTTGCTACGCAAAATCGATTTCTGTACTTCATTTAGAGCTTTAAAAGTACGCACAAGTGAATGCAATAAAGACTTCTTTGTCATGTTTAATTGCGATGACTAACTCGCTTATAACTATAATAATCTGCATTTTGCGACAAGTGTTCGATACTGTCTTTGTTACCTGCAAAGTTGCTGCACCTTTTCTTCAGCTCGAAATTCTCTTCTTTCGTAATTTGTCCCGCATGTGCTGCTTGAAGGAGGAAAAGCAACCAGAGTATGGTCATCTGAAGACAAGTTTGATATTTCTTGCATTGCGCAGATATTACACCTTGCTATAGCAATCAAACATTTGATGCATACTTATCAGTTAAGGGATTTATTAACGAATCAAATTGGTATCAAATCCTTCCTCAATCTTAGACAATAGAGATTAGATTTGTTGCTGGTTACCATCAACTGTTTCATCTCGTCTGATTGATCAATTTTGTTCTATTTGATGCCGCATCATATCGGATCGTGTAGAGGGACAAATACCGGCAAAAGACGTCGCCTCCACAGATTACTGATTTTTCCCCACATTTATTCCTTGCTCCGCAAGGATCAGTATCTAAGGAGGCGGCGCCTATCGGAGTTAAACAGCTAAATAGGCATTTTTGTACAGCTATGCCTAAACTAGAAAGCGAGTACAATTGACGAGATAATGGAATATGGAATGGATATGTAGCTCGTACTGCAACGTAGTAGTACCTAAAGAAGAAAGCTGCGATTTTCCAAATAGTAACTGGTTTTCCGTGTACACAATGTTAACTATTAGGTTGTCCCGAAAGTTTTGTTGGTTTTTTCAAACCACTGTAAAACCACGCACAAAAAGACCTGAGTGAATTTTAAAACACATTCGATGCAGCTTTCCTTCTCTTTCTTATGGTTACATTCTTATACCACAATCTTGTATGTTTTATTTGATAATTGCCAAAACTCTCCACCCGTCAATTTTATCTGCTCAAAGTTAGACTAATTCTCAAAAATTCATTCCAAAGTTTCGAAAAGGGTTGAGTACAGATCAAATAGAGCAATTATCGGTCTACAAGTTAGTATTTTTAGATTCTTCTAATCTGCTGTTTTTAGCTTCAAGAAAATATTTTTCCGGAGGTCTCGAGTTTTGGGAAAGTCATGAAACACGCAACTGCATCAAATACACGAAAGCTTTTGAAGTTTCTGCGTATTAAAACGTATTTCTTACTAAACGTCATTTATGCAACATAACTAATTTGATTCGCTTTGAAAAGCAGCTTTTTGGAATTTTTGGTACTTTTACATATTAAACATAATCAGAAAAACCGCGGTTTTTATCAAATAAATAATTATAACGGACTTGGTAAACGCGGCTCATGTAATCTAAAATTGATATAATATAGCGAAAGGTTTGCTCTACATAATAGTTACCAACGCTCTTTGGAAACATCAGAATAAAAAATTCTAAAATTTAGGGAAGATTTGGCGTTACTGCTGAGCTGCTCAAAAACCATGACGATAACATTGCAAAGACAGAGTAGATCAGAGAGCAAGAACTGTAAGAAAGAGGATAAAAATCTGAATCAAGTATGACCTAAGCCGCCCATGGATAGGTGTTTGTGAGTTTTAGTGAGCGACGAAAGAAACCGACAAAACTTTCGGGGCAACCTAATGTATAAATGATAAAAAGTGAGAGGACACAAAGTCTATGAAGGCAAGCAGGAAACTTGAGCTGGGGGATAATGTGGAGGAAGACAGTGAGTGCTTTTATACGGCTTTTTTGACTCATTTTTAATATTCTTTTACATTTCACTCTCCAAAAAATGTCAAAAGCAATGCTTCCACAGTTTAATCACCATACAGAACTTTTGCCAGCTATCTCAGCTACTCAGATGTACATCAAATGGTCATATTTCTGCGTTCTCTCATTGTCTGATCTCTCCTCAGCGACGAAGAATATTGTGTTTAAACTCTTCCAATATATGCGTTGAATCATGATCTTCAAAAACATCTTGTGCCGAGGAGGCTTAATCACACCAAGACGTTCACCTTCTTCTCGCTCAACGCTTTATTACATTCGTCATCTTCTTCATGATATCATATGCTTGAAAATATGCATCATTGCAATCCAGTGTCCATTCTTCATTGGTGCTTATTACTTGGAACACCAAAGGTATGAAATGCGCTGTTGTGTGCTTATGCCTGAACATTCTGGACACAACCTTTGGTTCTAGTATCCAGAAGCCGCATGACTCAGCAAGGAACATTTCCAAGGCTTGGGAGATCGCGCACTGAGTACGATAGCATCGATTTCTATGTTAAAAGGCACATATTAGGTTGATGCATACTTCCTGCACCAATAGGTAGTAATGCAATAATCCGGATAATTCTATATCTCAAATAGGATTCCATATATCATCAGATAGAGCAAACCTAGCTCTACAAGACATTGCTCAAAGATTTGCGGCAGCTTTGATTCAAGCGAAGATTGAAGCCAAAAAAAGATCCAAGCGCCCCAAACAAAAAAAGAATTGGAAGTCAGAAAAATCCTTCCAAATTTCTACTTGCTCATGCAATGTCATTTCGTATCAGACATCTCTTTATGCAGTTGCTGTATTTTTCTCTCAACTGGAAATTGAGAAAACAAAGTTTTTCATCTTTTTGCCAATTTAGTGCTGAAATGCTAGCACCAACAGTTGTATAGTACATGCCATTAGCTACAACTTTGAATTTCCGGCCTTCTAGAAGAACTAGTTCGCGAAATATTCGAAAATTCGAGAAATTTGGATCTAGCTCTCCTTATTCGCATTTTTTTTTTGCCTAGCTGCTTAGAATTCGATATTTCTCGTTTACCAGCCGCTGTAAAAAGCTGAGAATTCACACCTATGCTTCTAAGGTCCTGTAAAACACAACTGTCCTAAAAGCATCTCAGCATTGTTTTGAAAAAAACATGAAAAACTTCGTTTGCTCAATTTCTAGCTGAGAGAAAAATACAGCAGTTGCATAGAGAGATGTATTCGAAATGACAATTCATGAGCAAGTTAGGAATTTTGAAGAATTTTTCTGAACAGACTTTCAATTTTTTCTCGGTTTTTTTGGGGCGCTTGGATCTTTTCGGTTTTTGGCTTCAATCTTCGCAAAAAATCAAAGCTGCTGCAAAACTTTAACACTTTCTTGTAAAGCTAGGTTTGTTCTGTCTAATGATATATGGAATCCTATTTGAGATATAGGATTATTCCGGATTATTGCGGACTGTACGTATTTTGGTGCAGGAATTATACATCAACCTAATAATTTGTCTCTTGAAAAAGCCATAGTCTAAGCTTATGCATTATATCCGTCCCAGTATTTGGACCCGACCATCAGCAAGCACACCAAACTCCCCGCTTCTTGAGCCGAATGCAGGTACTCTCATGAAACAGCGTATAAGATGGTGTTAAGTATCGTGAGCAACAACAGGACCCAAATATTCTCTAAGCAACATCCTTCCATCGCTTACCTTCGGCCTTAACAAGTTGCCTGCGTACTTTGACATCGTTTACCAAATTTAGAGGTGATGAGATTTCGATCTGTGCAATAACGCCTCAACAGCTTTGCAACTGGTTAACTTGAACTACAAAAGATAGAGTTCAATGCGAAAGAATCGCACCGAATGGAGCTTCATCTTTAGCATAAAGTGATGAGTCCGAACTGGCTCCAAAATGCCTAAATCAAAATTTGCGTTTGTTATAGAAAGCAGATTTGCTACATTGGGGTCAATTCTCAGGACTGGGGACGGGAATTAGGAAACTCGGACACCAGTGAATTCAGCAGTGCCTGCAGCCTACAATCATGCGCTATCCGAGAGCACAACGATGATCTAACCTCCTAACTGGAATTTCGTTTTGGAACATCTCCTCAATATGCCGAAAATGTCTACCATACTGTCAACTCACTGTCATCGACTCTTCGCCAAGAATCATAGAATTGGTCGCATTAGGCTCTAAACTTAGACTTAGATAGATGGAATAACATGCTGTCCTAGAAAGTCATCTACAGCTTGAATGGGACATTATCGTTTTCTTTAAACCATACAGACATTCAAAAGTAACGTACACCTATACTGAAAGTAATGAGATTTTGATGCTGCATAATAGTAACGCCTCTAGCTAAGCAATCACCCAGGTCCCGCTGCAGGAGGGATTTCCAAAGCGAGAAAACCGCTGAAGGTAGAAGTGGCCAAGATGGCTCCACCCATCAGTGTGGGTTTGAAGATAAGCGAAACTGGGCTTTAGGTTTATCCAGGATTGTCATATTCGCCCATCATTTAAATAGTCGGATTTCGCCATTTACATCCACCTTAAAGCCAGATTATACATGACAGCTAGGCTCTCCAAAGATGTCGATGTCTCTAACTAGTTCGTAACTCTTACTTGTGTGGATGGGATTGCCAATAAGAAAATGATGTTTGTCGAAGTGTTCCTTCAAGTTGAGATACATACTATTTTGTAAGGCATAAAATGCTGATTCCAAATCAACCTCTTTTCTGCGTAGCGTTTCTGGGCGCGAAGTCATGGGGGAATTTCGAAGCGAAAAATTGAATGCTCAAGTACGTAATAAAATCAGCAATAATATTTTTTCTAACGCGTAAGTGGAGCTGTGGTAATAATCCTGGCACTCTTTGCAAGAAATGCCCTAAGTCTGAACATAATTTCGCGCATCGCCGTCCCATTTGGGCTAATAAAATTCTCACAACTGATCCTCCACATGTCGCGCATTTGATTTTTTGCTCCGAAAAAGCCTCATAACTTTGCGCCCCAAATTGCTCGGCAGATAACAATCATTAACGCTTATATTGATTCATGCTCTCAAGATGACATATATCTCATCTTGGAAGGCCTCTTCAACCAAACATTCTTCCCTTGTGAGGCTATCCCGACTACAAAATCCTACGCTAATTTTGTATGTTGACTTCCAAAAACTTCAGTTCCCTTTAGCTAAGTTGTGCTTGCGTGTTTCTATCCCACTGTTTAACCTAATCAGAGTGCTACGAGCTTTCCAGGTATCCAAATTCATTCGCCAAAAACTCCAGCTGTTGCGTGTCGAGCTGTTTCTAACTATGTACTACAATGACCGCCAAAAAGTTGCGGACAAGAAGCCCTCCTTTCTCCGTCGCTCATTTTCAGATGGAAAACAAGGATGAGAAAATGATCAAATTGCATGAGATGATAGAGCTCTTCAAGAACTATAACTCACCTATTACGCTTTTCGGAAAACATGGATTCTAAAGAAGTCAGAA